AGTGCTTCATGCCCACCTATAACTGTGGACAGGACTGGCATTGTCCCTGCTGGAGGCAACGAGGGGTTGTGTGTGCTGGGTGCTGTCCTTTGCTCTGTGGCTTTAGCAGCAGCAGAGTCTGGCTCCTCATGAACGCTGCCTCACTGCCCTCCTTCGTCTCTTGTTTGGTTCCAGGTGGGGAAACCCTGCAGAAGCCTTTTTTGTATTAATTTTATACTTCAACAACAAGGCCCATATCATGGACTGTGCTCCTGTCAAGTGACTTCTGCCCACCCAGCAACCTGAATAAACCTGGCTCTGCCATGCACCTGCCTTTGGCCTCATGGTTTGTCTTTTAGATGCCATTGTTTTACCTGTTTTTTTCAAACCACTTTGCTATCGGCACAAGATCCATGTGCCTTGGGGTGGGCCGAGTGTTTAGTATATATTTCCACAGCTGTGTGTGCCCTAGTCCAGCTAGAAAATAAGTGCTTCCCACTTTTTCCTAGGTCTGCTTTTATATCCCTCAACCTTAGTGTCACTCTCCTGTAAGGCTGTGCCCATTCTCATCCCTAGCCAGCAGCTCATGGCCCCTCACAAAGCAGAGGTGGTGGCTCGCTTACCATCTCCTGCACTAGAAACAGAGCTGACGGAAATGTCTGGTCCTGCTTTTCGGCCAAACTCTGTGGTCCTGAGGTGTGAGGAAGCGACAGTGGCTGGGTGGACATGCAGTGAAACTGCGCTTGCTGAACAGTCCTGGCTCCTTGGCTCCAAATTGAGAATAATGCTCATTTGGTGGGCATCCAGTGGGTGACCTAAGCTGTGTTGCAGGAAAATGAGGTTTTGGGGAGGAATGCTTGAGAAGTACAGGACAGAATTGTCTTGTAGCTGGCTCTGCCCTTCAATTAAGTAGTGAATTAACTGCCTTGCCTGTAAAAGAGTTAGTTTATGGCACGCATAACCATATTTTTAAAATAGCTTTGAATTTGTAGCCCAGTTTTCACAGCAGTTAGATTTCAAGATCAGATATTCAACAGGCAGCTTGCAGATTTAAAGCCCTAATTTCTTGTTTGGGAAGGAAGCTTTCACAGAATCCCAGACCGTTAGGGATTGGAAGGGACCTCAAAAGCTCATCCAGTCCAATCCCCCTGCCGGAGCAGGAACACCCAGATGAGGTTACACAGGAAGGCGTCCAGGTGGGTTCCCTCTGTGAATGCTCTTGGGTGCCTCTGGATCTGGCCCTGACCTCTGAGACATCAGCAACGAGAGCTCTTTTATTTTATACCCATTTGAAAACACGCAGTGTAGCTGTCAGCAGGCGTAGGCTGGGGGTGTCCTGGTTGGACACTCGTGATGATTAATGACACCGGGGTTCCTCTGTCTTGTGGGAAGCAGTTCTGTAACTACTGTTACAAAATAAGTTAAAAAACCCCAAACAAACAACAAAACAAAAACTATTTTATAGCCAGGGAGGAATGCACAAGGAGCCATCCTTGGATACAAAGCAGTATTTATATATTTATTTATATGGGCATATTTACCTCCAGCATAAAACAAAAGTCTAAATAAGCAAAACAAACCAACAAAAAAGTGGGGAATCTGGAGACTCAGCACTCAAATTCAGCAAAATATAAATATAAATCAGAAAGAAAGGAGGGGAAACCACACTTGTTCCCCACAAATAAAAACCAATAATCAAGAAGATCTGCTAAGAATGCAACTCTACAAACTTGCTGGCAATATACAGTGATTAAAGCTGTGACAGCAACATTTAAACCAAACAAATTAGTGCTTTACTTTTTTCTTTTTCTTCTTAATTCTTGCAGTGGTGGCATAGTCTCTATTTACAGGCTTTAAGCTCTTAACAGTAGGGCAGAACGTTTGTGAATTTGCTTTTGAAACAAACTCCGAAACAGCCAAACTTTTCGCAAGCAGCCTCCTTCCACGCTTGGTCTTCCTTCCTGCCAAGAATGTCCAGAGCTGAAGCGTCGCATTTCCAGTGGAAAGGGAGTTTTCCCGCGCTGGAGACGTTGGCTCAGAGCTCCCTCCGTCTCATGCAGGGAATGGCCTGATTGTTAACTCTCTTGGTACTGATTAGGGATTGGGGAACCTATCTTCTGGTTTTTTTTGGGGGGAGAGTCTATGCAAACAGCTGTTTCTGCAGGCTTAGAAGTAATCCTGTGACCCTTTCATAGTTACAAAACCCTTTTTGAGCTTATTTCTGCCTTGCTGTGCAGCGGCTGGTGGAACTGGCATACGCTTTGTGATAGACTTGAAGACAAAAGATACTGTTTGTGATCTAAGATGCTAAAAACCGCATTCAGCATCCCTCTCCTCTTCTGATAACAGGGATTGCTGTCAGTGTGGTGCTGTGAAACAGCCGTACGTGGGTAGGGCCAGCCTTTGCACTTTAAGTGTTGCCTCATCTTGGTTCTTAAGCTAACTGGCCACCATTTTTTTGAGGCATTTTACACATGCGTGGGAAAACTGTTGTTTCCTTGTGACTCTACTTAGCAGAAAAAGGCACTGGAGATGTTTCCATAGCCCTTAGGCACTTGGTTTGCCAGGGTCCTTCATAAATCCTATGGCAGGGACACCTGAGAGACTCCACCTCCTCTTGGGCCAGCGGTGCTAGCATGTATCTAGTGATTGCTTGATTCCTCCCCTCCAGGAGTGATTTTGTGATGTATGTGAGTCTGGGCTGAGCTCAGCCAGGACCACCAGTGAGCTGGGGGGATTGGTGGTGATTGCAGGCAGTGCTGTCAGCTCTGGCCCTCCCAACACCGCCCGTTACCTCTTCAGAGGCTGAAGGAGGGCACAGGCATTTAGCCCATCTTGACAGTCCAAGGGGACATGGGCTGGAGCAGGCCACCTCTCAGCTGAGCAGATGTGGAGGAGCATGTGGCATCACTCACCTGAATAAGGCCCTGCCAGACTTGGGCCACTGATAGCCAAGGGGAGAATAAAATCTGCCAGGAAAGGAACTTCCCAAGTTTAAGGCCAAGCAAAAAGCTCGGGACAGGTGGAGGGAAGAGTGCTGAGTGACCTTTCCGGAGAGCTACCGCAGAGGGTTTCCTTCCCAATTGGAGGCAGAAAGAGGGACTCCTGCTGAGCATGGAGCTGATCTGCTTTTGAAAAACACTCCCAAGCCTTGGCACCTCTTGATTTTTTTAGGGTAGTCCCATCGCTTCCCTCCCACTTGGCTGACCAGCCTTCCCTGCTCCCTGTCTAGTTCCTGCCTGCCCAGACTCCAGTGCCTTTTAGTAACTGGAGAGCTTCACCAATGAATAGCTGTTTGCTGCCTGTAGGCACACAGTGGGAATGAAGATCTGACCTTGAAACCACCCTACAAATAAAGAGCCTTTGGCAGCAGAGACACCAACTCCTGCGATGCTACAGGGAATCACAGGGTTATGGCTGCTTTGCTGGGACAAGCTCAGAAGTTCTGAGGTGGCCGACAGGAGATCAAACTGCAGGGGAAGAGAAGGCTGGGTAAGCTCCCATGAGATGTGCTCTTTTGCTAGAGGGATCCATCTCGGACATAAGAACCTGGTGGTGGCTCAGCCTCCAGGACCGCAGATGTCTCCTTCTTTAGCAAGAGGTGCTGGAGGAGGATGTGCGCTGATCAGGCTGACGTGGCCCAGCACCGCTGCAGCACTCAAGCTTTAATGTGGAGCTTAGCAATGGCCCCCCTTTGGTTTCCTATGCGAGACACGCATAGCTCAATAGGGACAGAATTAAGAGACCCATGTTTATACGGCTTAAAAAAAAATAAAAATCAGTAGTTTAGCAAGTTAAGAACTTGTAACAGTAAAATACCCAAAATACACTCAACATAACTGCCTTCCGAGAACAGTGACAGCAAGGGCCCACGGTCGCTGCCATTCCCCACGGTGTGGAAGAGGATCAGCCTCCTCAGTGCCTGGCAGAGATCTGGTAGCCAGGGGGTGCAGTGAAGCCAAGTCACAGTCCCCAGTGACCCAGCATTGCTCTGCAGGGCGCACTGGGCTTTGCCAGGGGTTTCTCTTCGACGCGTCTGGGCAGAGGTGGCTGTGTTGACTTAAGAGCTGACCAGGCAGCTCCACGTGCACTGTGAGAGGCCACACGCTGCTGCCAAATGAATAATAATAAAAAAACCAAAATGGGTCCCAAGACACTTAACGTAGGTGACTCACAGTAATTTTTCTCCCATGGGTTGATGGCGAGTGTCCCCACATGTGGTTTGGCCTGGGCACAGCCTCAGCAGCATCTTTAGTGGGGTTCTGGTGTTTATCCATCCAGACCTGGATACAGTGAAAGTTAAAAGTACAGCAGGGAGGGGGACAGACAGGGCAAGCGCTGAGGCTGCACCTTCTCTCGTTGTCCACAGAGGACAGTCTGGTGGTGGGTCCTGGGGTCTGCGGGGGTCTGCGGAGTGAGGCTGCAGGGGATGGCCCTGGGGCAACTAGAAGGAACAGCAACTCCAGTGTACGACTTCCAGTATGGCCAGGCACAGCCTTCCTTTCCAGGGCAAACTCCAGCGTTTTCGCTCTTGGAAAGGGGTCCAGTGTCGAGCAATTCCAGTGTTGGGAAGAAGTGATGTGGCACAGCTGGGACCACTGGGCCAGTACAAGATAGAGCTCCCATCCGCGCTTTGGGATGTGGCAGACCCATTCCACATTCAGTCCAGTGTAAGGCTTTCAAATCCAGTGTTGTAAGAGGAGGGAAAAGTGACAGAGGACACAAGCATCCCCATAAGGGATGGAGAGAGATGTTCAGGGTGCTGTGGGAAGGCGGCAGTCGGTGTGAGGTGAGCCGAGGAGATCCCACAGGGCTGGCTGTGTTCCTGGGGCTTAGGTCCTGTGTTCTGCCTGTGCTTCGGTGCCTGCGTCACCAGCCACAACCAAACCAGTTCCAAGCCCCGTGTGGGAGATAGGGGGAAGATGGGGTTGGGGGCTAGTGGAGGAGGGTGTAGGGGAGTCTCCCCAGTGTCACCAGTCCCCCTCCTCTCTCCAACCAGAGGGCACTGGTGCTGCCAGGACTCACTCACAGAGCCAATAAAACTGAAAATAATAGTCAGTGAAAAGGTGTCCCATCTGCTCAGGAGCAGCGCTGCAGTTGGCTCGGCCCTGTGAGAGAGCGAGAGAAAAAAAATCTTATAGACAAGGGTAGGCTGCATGCTCCGAGTGGAAAATAGTGGCTGAATTACGTGCTGGAGCAGAAAAAAAAATCATTCCCCTACTACCCGTGTAACTGTGGCAAGCACCAGCCATGATGGAGAGGGCTGTGAAAGGCTCAGTGCAATGTGGCTGCTAAACCTGCCATGGTCCCATTGCTCTCCCGCTGCTCAAGGGGAACAAGCTTTCCTCTTTCCTGGACTAGAGGAAAGACAAAGCAGGTACTGGTACTCACCGGCTGTGCTACTCTGAAGTGGTAGGTAAACTCCTGGAAGGACATCATCACGAGAGGCCAACGGTGCGTTGTTTCCTGGGGGAGAAAAGAGAAGAGCTGGGATGAGATGGGGGCTGAGCAGCGGGGGATGTTCTCCCAGGGCAGACTGGCAAGGACCCACACAACACCATGCTGGTAAGTGGAGGAGCAACTTCTCTGAGGTCAGCAGTGGAGCTGGACTCGGAGGAGGCACTCGGGGGTGAGAAGGGTCTGATGCAGGCTCCACACATCAAAATCTCCCTGAAGGGATTTTGTTAGGATGTGTTACAGCCTGGCCTTTTCCCCACAGTCCTGGAGCTTGTGCAGAGGGGTCAGGTGGGATGATTTTATTCAAGTGACCACAAGTACCAGGTTTACAGACACCTTGTAGAGGGGTGCAGGGATGTCTGAGGGTCATTGACATTAGCCAGTGCAGACTACGGGTATTGCTCAGCATTAATTTCCTCCAGCAGCAATGATGCTGCCCTAGCCAGGCTGCTCCGGTCCCTCCTGGAGGGATCAGTGGTGTGCTGGGATGACACAGGGCGTGTGGATTTCGTGAACCAGACCCTCCCAACCTCCCTACCTGTGCATCCATGGCATCGGTGGAGCTGTTCATGCTCACAGCATCTTGGCAAGGGTTGCTGGAGACAAGGCCACAAAGGGAGATAGATACAGTGGAGGAGGAGCTGGGGAGACAAGACACTGTAAGACCCTGGAAGCCTCTGCCATGTCTTCCCCAGCTCAGGCAGGACACACTGTGACCACATGGCACAGTATCCAGCCAGCTTCAGGGGTACCAAAACACCTAAGGGATGAGCCCTGGCCACTCACTTCATCTCCAGGGTCAGGTTGGTGTTCACTGCCGTGAGCTGGTTGACGGGGATGCGGTAGGTGAAATTTCCAGTCCTAGAGACACAGAGAGAGCATTGACCTCACCACTGCAATTCAGGCAGCTGTGAAATGGCCAGGATAGGACCCAAAGCTCCAGGAGCTGCCCATCTGCAGCTTCCCCTAGAGCTCCCACAGTGCTGCTGCCAGCAAAGCCCTGCCTCGCTCACCTGCACGCGTCGGGGGCTGTGCAGTACTGGGACTGGACGGCCATGTTGATCTCCACGATCCGGATGGAGCGCAGCACTGGGCTTGGCCCTGCGGGTGGGAGAACAGGGCTGCTTAGGACCAGCAAAGGGATGTGAGCTGGGGTACCCTGAATGAGAAGGGCTGACAGGGATGCCTGCCACTGAGACCACCTTTTCTCATTACTGAGAACATGTCCAGCCACAGAGAGCCAGGAGGAGTGCCCCAGACTGTGCCAATGGCTGCTCATCAACGCTCCTTTCTGCTACCAGCGTGACTGAATCTGTGCATTTCTTCCTCTAGATCTGATTTAGAAATGGCTGAGCAAGCCAAGATGGGGGTAAGAACAGAGATGCCAGTATGGCAGCCTCAGAAGGGAACTAGCAACTGGTTTAATAGAGCCAGAAAGCATAGGGCAGGGTGGGGGAGGGAAGGGCAGAGGTGAAGACTGAATCTGGCTGCACTGGGAGAGCTGTGGGCGAACAAGCTCCAGGATGGGGACACTGTGAGAGCTGTGCAGGACAGATGAGACCCAGATGGTTGAGGATACCCCAGGAAAGAACCCAGGACCTCGGTGCCGCTGCAGGGAGGGAAGAAGATAGGGTCCACCTACCATTTGTGCCGGGATCCTCTGTGCGGGGCCACTCGCTCACCGGCTGCTTGATGCTGCGCTGCTGCCGGGCCTGCCCCAGCGGGGAGTTGCTGCGGGAGAGCGAGAGGTTGGAGATGTACTTGGATTTGCCTTGGATGTGGGTGAAGGGGGAGGAGGGGCTGGCATTGGGGCTGCCGAAGCTCTGAGACCTGTCAGGCGTCTTTGGCCACTTGGTGTAGGACGTCGCTTTCCCACTGATGCCCCTGGATTTGGCTTTGATATTTGTCGCTGGCAGGAGCGAGGTCTGACTTTGATCTGTGACAAAAAGACAGGGAAAGGTTGTGCTGAGAGGCAGAGAGAGGCTGGCAGCATTCCTGGCCTCCGAGGCCAGTGCAGACAGAACTGCTACCAGCTCTGGGTCTGTCCTGTCCCCACGTCACCCCCCAGGAGTAGCTGAGGCTTCCCAGCCTGAAGGTGCTGGTGGGATCCTTGCAGCAAAGGGAAGCTACAGCAGGATTTGGGGATAAACTGGGGGCACAGCCCTGTGCCCAAGGAGGGCATGGTGTTTAAGGCAAGGTTAGGGCATGGCTCCAGGGGTGTTACAGATCTGCAGTGACTGCCTGAGGCGCTGTTCCTCCTGCAGCAGCAACAATGATGGAGCGAAGCAGCTTGCGAAAGCCCAGCTTGGACAGCCAAGAGGCAGTGCCCTCCCGGCCTGTCAAAATCCTGCTCAGACAGAGGGATGAGGTTGGACTACAAGGTTTGGCTGCTGGGGCACGCTGGCCAGCCTGGCGTAGTCTCTCGTGACTTCATGCTGGCAAAGCAGGCAGCTCCAAAGACCTTCCAGCGCCCACTTACCCCTGGCAGCATGATCACGGCTGGCTGAACCGTGCACACGGGCAGCGAAGGCTGCTCAGCCTGGCAGTCCTGCTTTGTCCCTGCTGGAGTGGGTGTGGAGGCAGCTGGGCACATTTTGGGGATATGAGGTGATGCAATGGTGAGACAGACCTCGGTGGTGTCCCAGCATCTCCTGGCTGCCTGGGCTGGTACTTACCTGTCTGGTTAGTGGCATGAGTGGGGCTGGTCTCAGAAAGGGCAACAGAGGAGACATTGGTGGGAGCAGCAGAGCAGCATGTGGAAAAGCATGGTGGGCTGAAGCACGCTACCACGCTGTGACCAGGTAAGCTGAAGACTAAGTCATGTGTGTCCTCTGTGACTGCAGAGCAAACAGCAGGGATATGAGGAGTAAGTCAAGGGGAGAGGCATCTAACAGAAGCAGCACCAAGTGCCCCCAGCATCCCTTCCACAAAAAAACCACCCCCAGGACCTCCCAGTGTGAAGACAGCACAGTGCCAGCAAGCCCCTGGCATGGAGGAGCAGCCACATTCATCACTCTGCACCACAACCCATCGTCTGCTGGGCCCTCTGCAACCTACCATGGTGCGTGGGGGTCCTGCCGCTGGCTCTGTCTGATGCAGCTGTGGATCGCACCATCTGCGTTTTATCAAAGTTCTGGCTTGACCTGAATTGCAGGAGAATATGGGTGAAAACCTCTACTGCAGAGTACAACAGCATCACTTGTACATGGAGAAGCGGCTGCAGCAGTGAGTGGGACAATGGGACCAGGTACAAGGAGTAAGAGCACATGTGGAGAGCGCAAGGGTGAGGAGGAGCAAGGACTGGAGAGATCTGGGAAAAGCAGGAGAGAGGCAGGCAAGCCATGACAGCAAGGAGAGCTAGGAAATGCCACAGCAGATTGTGTGGCAGTCTGCTGTCTGGCAGGGATGATTCCCAGAGGACACCAGCAATGCTCCCTTGATGCTCACTGTGGAACAAGGCAAACTCAGTGGACTTGATTTCCAACAGTGATCTCCAGGGTGGATTTTTGTGCTCAGGTCTCAACATGTTGGGCCATAGCAGGCTCCAAGCACTCGTCATTCCCTAAGGGAGATGTCCCTTCTCTCTTGGAGACAAACTGTTTCTCACCTTGTTTTCCAGAAATACACACAATCCCACCCAGATTCATCCCAAGTAATTTCAGTTGTTTCACTGAAGCTACTAAGATCTGAGCTGAGCATCTCCCCAGGGCAAGGCAGATGTAAACGAGGAGGAACTGCTGCCACGTGCTGTTCTTCTCCCATATCTGCACAGAAGCAGCACCACTTCTGGGCACCAGCTACTGCCTACAGAGGTACAAGATTAAACCAAGGCTCTTGCCTTCATACACTGTAGCTCTCCACTGAGCAGAAATTTCTACTGAGCTCCTAACAAAGATGTTCAAGATTTTACCTGCCTAAACCCTGCCCAGGCATAGGAGCAGTTCAGTTTTCTCACATTTCAATTGTCCTGTACCCATGTTTTGTCCATCCCCTTCGCATCGCTCAAGGTTTGCCAAAGCTAAATGCAGCTTTCACTCATTTAGAGCAATCAAAATGCCTGTTCGTTACCTCCAAGACTTGACTTGATTACAAGTACTTCCTTTTTTCTGGTGAAAGGAGATGAAACGCCAGTCTCCTGGAGGGAACCTCCTCTGGAGCCAAGCTTCATCCCAGCCAAAAACTTACCCCTATCCCTCATCTTCCTCCACTGCTTCGTCAACACTTCCCATGCACGGCTTTATCTTGCATCACACAAGCAATGATTTCTTTAATACTTTCCTGTGAGAGACTCTGATGTGGAGTTCTTAAAGAACAAATTAATTGTGCCTTCCACCACTCTTTATGCAGTGTTTTGGTCAAAGGGAGCTGACGGACAGGTAGGGCCTGATTTCCTTTTGTGGGCACTATTTTGCAGACTCCATTAACTGAGGTGCTTTACAGGTCTGTACCTAATGAGTAACTCAGCCACCTTTCCCCGTGTCAGTACCTTTCACAAACATTCCCAGCCGTGATGGCTCATAAAAAGAAATAATTTGAGGTTTGGGGTTTTTCCTGTCCTTTTGCACAGTAAGCTGGCTTGTACTTGAGAGTGACCCTCCACAATAAAGCTACTCGCATATGAAGAGAGGGTAGGAGCAGCTTTTTAGCTAATTCTTCAAAGTCTTAATCCTTTTTTACATACTCCCTCCACTCCTTTCACACTGTCTGCTCCTGCTCTACCTGTATAATGCCATTTCTTTATTTAGCCTTTGATTAATTGGTTCTTCAACCTCCTAATCCTAATTTCCCCTTCCTGATGAGGTCCATAATCCTTCCTCTTGGAGTCCCACTTGCTGAAGTATATTCATATCCCATTCCTTGCTTTCAATTTTGCTAAATATTCTTGGTCTTCTGTGGCACAGATGGAAGGAGGAAGAGGAACTGAGAGAAGGGATGCAGCAATTAAATAACAGTATAATGAAACAGTAACATACCGTGGACATAGAGCGATCGGGACCCCAGGACCCCTGTGCCGAAAGAGGGCCAGGAGACAGGCAGTGGGCACAGCAAAAGAGCTACAGGACAGTGAAGGGAGACGGGAAGAAAAGGCAGGTTGGTAGAAGATGAGGAGGACAGCAGGGAATCAAAGATGATACGGGAGATAATGGAAAGGAAAAGACAAAAAGGGGGAAATTAAAGACAAATTGGAAAGAAAATGGGTTGGATGAGAGATGGAACCAGAACAGGAGGGAGAGAAATAGGACAGGAAGAAGAGAGAGAGAAAAAGTGACTCATTATCTGGTAACGTGAGCTCCCAAAGGAGTGAAGTGCGTCAAAACCGAATGCCCGGCACAGGCTGCCTGTGCGCACACTTGCCGGGCTGGGCTGTTCTCTCAGTGCTGTCTCCACACTAAGGACGCTCTTGCCCAATACAGACTGGTCCAGCCCCACTGCAATCAGTGGGACGATGGTGTTTTAGTCCAGCTGAAGAGGCATCCAAAGAGCTTTCAGAGCAACCATGATATGCGTGCAGCCAAACAACAGAGTATTTTCTTTTCCTTCTTCTTCTCTTCCTCATTTCTTGCTCCAGATAATTTAACTGACATCAGACTTGTATGTGTGGATGCATTTGGTTGGCTTCCCAGCTTGGCTCACTGGAACCATGCTCAATAACCCCATAGCAGCTGCTTTTTCTGACTCCCCTGGTCACCACATCCCTCCCACAGAGCCCAGCAATACCTACCCATCAATATCCACGAGGTCCTCTTCACTGCGCAAGCTCAGCACATAGAGTGTGGACATGGACACCACACTGGAAAGAAAGAGAGAGGTACAGGCTGAGGACAGGAGTGTGGAGAGGGACATGTGATGGTACTGATCCGCTTCCAAGGGATTTCAGCCCATGAGAGAAGCCACAGGTCTCACCTGAATGCCATGATGATGACCAGGGCGATGATAGTGCCTTGCAGGAAGCGCTGGCTGATGCAGGCCTGTTCTGGGACAACCGAGGGTGACTGCAAGAGAAAAACCCAGGACTCCTTACTGCTCTGGTCCTTGTACCCGTCTCACCCAGCCCATCCTAAGCTCTCTTCCTCCTCCCCTGCAAGCTCTGAACTGCCGCAGAGCAGGAGACAGATAATATCTTCATTAGGGATGGAGAGATCATGGAAATGGGAGCAGACAGGGTCTCTCCCTCTGCAGCGTGGGTAAGAAAACACATGAGGGCCACGCAGATGACCATCCCCAAACAGGCCACCATCCCCTTGCACAGCATTGCTCCTCTGGGAGCCATCCCTTACCTTGCTGGCTACTTTGTGGGGTCTTTTTTTGTGGGGCATGCTTCCAGCACGGCTGAACTGGCTTCCTGTTTGGCTGCAAAGGAGAAAGGAGGAGTGGAGCTGAGCTCAGCAGGGACAGCACTTGGAGCAACTCCCGGACAAAAATGTGATTCTCTGGTAGGGGAGAGATCTCTGTGTGGCATGACAGTCACAAACCCTTGTCACTTCTTCTGCTCGGGGCTAGGTGTAGTGCTGGTCCGTTGCCCAGAGAGCCTGAATTCTGCCCCAAAACCTGCATAAGCTGACCAGAGTCAGTATCATGATTTGGGAAGCATGAGAAACATTTTGTCCTGAGAAAGCTGCTCACTTACTCTAGGGAAACGTGGAAACAACTTCATAGCTGGGTCTTTAGGGCTGGCCTAAGAGCAGACTGTTGATACGTGTGTGCCAGACTTGCCTCACACATCTCAGCTCTTTGAATCTACCCCAGGCCAAATGACAACTGCCAACAGCCCATCTCTCCTCCCCATCTCCTCTTTCTCAAACCGAGCTGTCACTCAGGGCTGCCAGGGCTCAAATGGTTGGACTTGATGATCTTAAAGGCCTTTTCCAACCGAATGATTCTACAAAAAGGAGACATCCCTTCTGGCTCCCGTGCCCTCACTATGCCCGTACCTGAATGCCCCAGAGCTCACGGTTGACTTCATGCTGTCCAGCCGCTTGAGCTTGGCCAGCTTGTGACTCCACCTCTCCAGCTCATCGATGCGGGTCTCCAGGTTGTCCGTCAGTTTGCACAGCTCCTTCACAGCTCCCACATTCTCCATGAAGATGCGCTCCTGCCAGGGAACAGGTCAGCAGTCTGAGCAGCCTGGCACATGAAGGCACTCCTGCTCCTCACCCTGGATCTGGCAGCCCTGACTGCTCTCCCATGCCCTGCCCCAGGGGAAAAGCTACACAACACCCAGCTCTGGGGGTAAGGAATCATCCAACGTGACACATCAAGATCTCTACAGCCCCTGGATGAAAGAACAAGAGATAACCTCTTCAAACCCAACCAAAACAATAGATGTTGGCGTGCTGGTCCAGCACTATGTTCAGAAGATCTTGGACACCACAGGTAATTTGTAGCAGCAGGTAGATGCCTGATCAGAGAGGCTGCAACAGGCTCTTCAGCGTGCACCAGCTCCTGCTGGAGGCCGAGACTGAGCTGCGGTCCACAGAGGAGGACTGGACGCAGAAACGAAGGACAGCAATGGCCTGGCCACATGCAGATGGGACAGAAAAGGCCACACTCACAGCTACTGCTAGCTGGTGACATGACAGCAGGGATCTAGGCTTCCACAAAGGAGAAACAAGGCACCAAGGTCAGTCCTGACAGAGTGATGCAGGAGGGAACTGGCAGCTTTGGGCGGCTGTCCCCTTGATGTGTGCTACAGGAGGCTGTCCCCTTGACCTGTGCTACAGGAGGCTGTCCCCTCGATGCCCAGAGCAGCAAACAGGCTGCCACAGGTCACAGAGAGGTCAGGCAGCCAGGTGCTCTGGGTTATCTTGACATAACCACCTTATCTTATCTGGAAAGGGGAGATTATGACTAAGAGCCTCCTTACAGGAGGCTGCCAACAAGGAGCCCTTCCTAAGGGAGATGCTGCCAACTTTCACCAACATCAGACTAGTTCCTCCCTGCTGGTGTCTGCTGTCCACCCAGGGCTGCTCCTGATATCTGAAAGAGCAGCCACGTCTGAAACTTGCATGGGTGGTGTTGGATTAGAAACATTTCTCAAGCATCACAGTTTCCAGCTTCCATTTCCAGCTTCACAAGTCCCTTGAGCCAGGTTCAACGGCCTCCCCAGCCTCCCTGCCACTGACCTTGTTCACCACCAGGAAGTTCTCAAGGGTCTTCCCATTGGAAAACACCAGGTCCCCTGTGTCCTTCACAGCTTCAGGGAGGATCTCCTTTACCTCCTGAGCAATGACGCCTGCATGGAAACAGCACAGAGGGTCAGGATGGGGTCTGAGCAGGGCTCCTCGTGCCACAGCTCCTTCTCTGGCCCATCCAGTCCTTGGCAGGAACCCTGTTCACCAGGTTGTCCTTCCCTCACCCCAGCCTGTGCAGGACCAGGCAGAGTTCATCGGAGGCCCCATGAGAGAAGAGCAGAGGCTGTTCAGACAAGGTTGGTTCCCAAATTACGTGGACTGGGGTATTTGCATTACCCCAGCCTGTAGTGTGCAGCTGTATCCCTGGAGAGAGGTGGGTACTTTGAGAAGCCTTACCACAGAAGCTCTATAAGCCACTTGTGGGACGTGCTATCTTCTCTCCCTCTCACTAAAGGGGGAATTTCATTAGATGCCTGAACTTCAGGTGGTGAGAAGCCCCCTCTCTCCTACCCTATGCTTGGAGGGCTACCCCAGGGCAGAGCTGGGTTCAGCCATCGGGAAAGGCAGGGCAGTGTGGCACCATGACCAAAACACCGCTGCAGGTTGCAGAACACGAGGTCCAGTGCTGCAGACACAAGCAGAGCACCGTGGTGTAACACGGGGCCCGTACCTGTCTCAGAGGTGTTGTCAATGCCCACTGTGGCAGCAAACTCAGGCTTGTAGCTGTAGTGTACTAGCCGCATTCGGGAGATCCTCTTTAGCTGCTCGGTGGTGTCCACCTGGGACAAAACAGACATACACAACTCCTAAGTGGGGTGTTGCTCAGGCAGTGAAGCCAGGAGAAGACTGGGTCCCATTGAACATCCAAGCACAGAAGCATTTCTCCTAACTATGAGACATCATTGTTCCCAGCTTTTCTGGACAGGGACATCCAGCTGAGAGGACTTCAGAGCAGAGCTGAGCCTCTCACCCAGGCTCTGGCAAGCCTCAGTGTGCTAACTGATGTATTCACCTGCTTCCAAGTACAAACTTCTGCATTTGCTACCTCTGGCTAACAGTGGAAGAGTCAATATTCCCTAAGACACAGTGGACAGGCTGTGTCTGGGACAGACAGACTTCTAAGGCACTTCCCATTTGGTCAAGAGCTCAGGCTGCCCATAAGGACTACGTCAAAACCAGCAGCTGAAACAGGCTCACAAAGACACTCACATTTTCTGGGGTGCCTCTTCAGATCCTCATCACCCCAAGCCTATCCTGATTTGCCTGGCTCTCACCTCCTGGATGTCCTCCTTCACTCGGACATCTGAAGGGTGCATCAGCGAACCCATGACCTTCACATTGCCATGGACCACGAGGGCTTCATCAGGGCGGTCTGTATTGATGCCCACCCGGCCGTGGTGGAAAACAGTATCAGGAAGCTGCGCCCGCTGCCAGAGCACATCGCTGTCGCTCTCGAACTGGCCAGGGTTGGAAGCCTGTGGAGAGGCAAAAAAATACGGACTGAAAAGCAAAAGCAGGGGAAGAAACGCTGCAGCACTGCTGGGCAGAGGTACTCTGAGATGTGGACAGAGGGAAGATGTCAGGAGAGCCCCACAGACCCACCTCTCTATGCATGTTGCAGGGGAACTGTGTAACAGGAGAGGCCATGGGCAACACATGGATGTCAGAGAGCCCCAAGATGCTGTGCTGGCCTGGACAGTGCCATGCACCCTACAGCAGCAGTGTGCCGTCCCCACGAGTGTGAGTGGGAAACAACTGTGTGTTTCACAACAGCTGTGAAACAAAGCTTGACAGAAGCAGAAGCACCCAGAGGACACAGCACTGTCCTTGCTCCTTGCTCCGCAGAAGGGAAATGGGGACAGAGAAGATCTCAGCTGACACTGGGGCATGTTCATCCAGGTACCTACTCTCTAAGAAGCACGAGGGGGCTCTTGGGATGAACAGTTCAGGTCATGAGATCCTGGCATGGGTACCCTCTCAAGCACATGGAATTACAGCCCTAGGGAGACCTCGAGGCTGAGCTATGGCAGCCCCAGTCTGACAGGAGGGACAGCAGGGAGTGGAACAGCAGGGAGTGGAACAGCAGGGAGTTGGCCAGACAGGCAGGGTAGAGCCTGCAAAGGCCAAGCAAGGCCATGGAGGTGTGAGACAGAGTTTTGCAACAGCACATAGCAAAGTGGCAGGGGCAGGCATCCACTGCCAGCCCTGGGAAGAGATCTCAGCCTGCCCTTACAGGAGAAGTGGCCTTGGCATTCATCTGCTGACCCTGTCTAAGCCTCTCTCTGCAGCAATCAAAGCCATGCCTGCTCTGCTCCTCTCCCTAAAGGAGTAGCCTTGCTTTCTTGAGCTGTCTTATCTCAGCTATCAGAGCTGTTCCAACAAGCCCAGGCAGAACCACACAAGACAGCAGGAAGAGACCATAAGTGACATGGGTGTTGTTGCTGGGTCCCAAATCCTGGGGTTCTGCCCTGCTGCCAAGGTTCTGAGACCAGGTGGTCCAAACTGCCTGCAGTTTTCTGCAGTTCTGCAGTGGATAGCTTGCAGGCTGCATAATTCAACATGGACTTACTTGTCTGAGATCCCTCCGTTTGTGTTTTAACCCCTGGTTTCCTGTCTTGGAGCTGAGTGCTCTAGCAGAGCCTTGGGAGAGCCTGGGGATGTTGCTCTGCCCTGGACACTGGTCCAGCTTTGGGAGAATGGGACACCTTCTCTGTCCTGCAATAGGTTCTTGCATGCCCTGAGGCTGCTCTGACCAAGCAAGTGTGGAAAGGCTGGAGCCAGAACCCAAGCATAGAGAGGGATAGCTTAAAGGAGGCAGTAGAGTTTAGAGAAGATGGGAAAGGGCTGGGAAAGACACCAAAATGCCAGAGGAAGGCAGGAGGATTGGCCAGAACATCCAGCAAAGAACTGTGAGGCACCTGCAGAGGCTGAGGGAAGAGAGAGGGACTTACTCTGACAATGATGCGCTCAGAGATGTGGGCTGCCAGCGTGTAGTTCTGGTTCTGTGCGTGTGCCTGCAAGGCCACCACAAGCATGAAATACCTGTCAAGAGGGGAGAGAGGTCAGGGATCCTGCGCAGTTTGCTTCCCTTCTGAAGGCCGATGCACCAAACTGTCACGGTGGGCTTGGCACATCCCATGTCCTTGCGCTGTGGGGCACAGGCGCTGTTCCCAGCCCCTCACAGAGTAGGGGAGACCATTTCTTGTGGCCACAGCAGACACCTCCTCCACATTGACAAGGACAGCCAATTCAGGACCTGTCCCTCATGTCTCTGTCCCTCCAGCCACACTCCCCAACCCAGAGACTAGCACATCCACAGGGCCTGAGTGCCCAGAATGGCTTGGCGAAGGCACCTGTGCTCCTCACCTCTGGTCTGGGTTGGGTTTGCCTTTCTTCCGCATGTTGTTGGCTGTGGTCTCGCTGAAGTGCAGCCGCCCCACAGTGACCTTGGTGACCTGCTCTGGTGGCAGGTTGACTCTGGGGAAAGGGAAAACAGGAGTGAGTGAGGACACTGCTGGAGAGGAGGTTCTTTGGGGAATGGCCATCTCCTGGTCTGCTCCACCAAGGCAGGTGAACTGGGCACAGGATGGAGTGGGGAATGAGAAGAAAGGAAAAATTTGCTATGGGAAACAGGAGAAAATGAAAGTGTGTGACACCCACAGTACTATCCTGAGATATCCAGCTCATCCCCTTTCCCCACCTTCTCCTGCTGTTGCTCATTTCCCGACAGCACTTCACCACATGAAGATGGCAATAGTGTGTTGCAGTGATAGGACAAGGAGTAAAGGCTTTAAACTGAAAGGAGGTAGATTTAGATTAGACATTAGGAAGAAATTCTTCACTATAAGGGCAGAGAGACACTGGCACAGATTGCCCAGGGAAGTTGTGGATGCCCCCTCTCTGGCAGTGTTCAAGGCCAGGTTGGACAGGGCTTTGGGCAACCTGGGCTGGTGGGAGGTGTCCCTGCCCATGGCAGGGGTTGGACTGGATGAGCTTTAAGGTCCCTTCTAACCCAAATTATTCCAGGATTCTATGAATACTCACGTGACAGGGTTGAAGGGCCGTTTGCTGCGGTCAGACTGCGACTGCTCTATGTTGATTGACTGGTTCAAGGCCTCTAACTGGAGAGAGATTCGGGCAAGTGACAAAGAGCAGAAAGCTGAGACCTTCCCCTTCCCACCTCCTTCTCCCCAGCCTCTGCACATGCCAGCTGTCTACCCAGCGCTCCTGTGACTCAGTACAACTGACTTGCAGCACCCAACTTGAGTGAGGTCATTGTCCAAGCTTGGGTGCTTCTCTTGGCAGGGGAACAGTTGAGGGTGAAGGGATGTTCCCAGAGTGCTTACATACCTCCAGAGACAAAGATGAGTGAGAGGCAGCCCTGAAGACACCCAGGCAGTGACTGAGTTCACCTTAGGACTCATATGTCAAGACCTGCCTTGTTCTGGCCTTCAGCACTATCCTACATAATCCCTTACAACCTAGCACATGAAAGACACAGTGCTGCCTGACCCCAGCCATCTGCCAAGCACCCCTTCTCACTGGATTCACTACTGGCCCTTAGCTCCCGCTTGCCTTCACTCCGTGCAGCTTCAGGTAGAAGCACTCTAAGGGTTTCAGGCCCTCGGGGGTCTTCACATACTTGGGATCTCCAAGCATGCCGATGTAGACCGTGACTTGGAAGTGATTCTTCTTCTGGCACACAAAGGCATCATCACCCACTGAGAAGTTGAACCCCTTGTCAGCATCTACACGGTAGGTGAGCATTGGGCTGTGGAAAAGGCAGCAGGCATTAGACCAAAGCTCTGGGCACACCGCAAGAGGCTCCAACCCAGAAGGAGAGGCAATGAGGGGTCCATATGGCATGGTACATAGCCACATCCCGAGCTGTGGACACACATGAACCACCCCACCAGGGCATTAGAAGGACTGGGGAGACAGCTCATCTCCATCTCCCACCACACATGAACAGTCCCACCTCACTGTGGACTGTGAAGCCCACCTCTACTCAACACATCCAGCCACAAAATAATCCTGAGGCACGGGAGGGGAAGGAGGGCTGTGTGGGGCAAAAGGGACAGCTTTTGATGCTGTCCCTCCTGCCCTGTACTAACATTACTCTCGGGTGCCCACAGGGCTGACAGACACAGGGTGAACTCAACACGTTGTCTAAGCCCAAGCAGTAACCCATCCTGCTGTGCAGGGATAGGCCCAGAAAAGGTCCGTATCTCCTTGAAGCTGCAAGTTTTGCTTCAAATGGAAGGAAATATGGTTCCAATGACTAGGATCTGGGGAGGATGCTGGGGCAAACACCTCTCTTTGCTATGGTATAGTACTAATACTATATACATAGTACAATACGAGTTGCAACAGACTAATGTCTCCTTTTTGAGTGCTGCTCCTGCAAAGTGAAGCTGCTTAGCCCTGGCTCAACACACACTGGAGATACCAAGCCCAACGACTGCCCAAAGCCTGGAGCAGACCCCTGAGAGCTTCCTCCTGGGAGAAACAGCTTGGCCTGACGGGTGGGCAGGGGTGGGTCCCACACCTCCACTTGCTTCACCTGTTGCATTCCCGACGTCGCTTGCGCTGGCCCTGCTACCAGGCAGTACCGCCTGCGTGCTGGATTCCTGCT